ATATTCGGCACAAGTTAGTCCCTCTGACTCTCTACAAACATGAACACTAAGGAAATTAAATGGATTAAGTCAGTCGTATAGGCCGATGCAATAAATCTATACTTAGTCCCCACTCATCTGATAACGCTAACGCTAGTTTCTTCCCTGCTCTAAGTATGGACCATCTGACAGCAGTGCTTAACTACACTAGTATAGCAACTTGAGAGTACGGGCGATTCGTGTCGGGTCTACAAATATTCATTCTAAGGGAAAATGTACGGGGAAACCTGTGATGTGTGAAATATTTACTGATGTAAAATTAATGGGATTCAAAATGTATAAACATACAAATAAATGATGTCTACCATCCCTCTCCTCCTGCAACCCCTAAACTCCAATTTTTAATCTCTACAAAAGAATTCTGAAAATGATCAGCAGCCTCTGAGATATCATAAAGGTTTGTTCCATGTTTTTGCCCATAGCTCCGCCACCACTAGAACGAATTCTAAGAAGTGCCAAGCTTTAGCAGTCTTGGCTTAGTAGTAACATTGAATAAAATATTTGTCGATATCTTAGCAGTATGTTTCCAGTTACAGGTGGTTATAGGATTAGTGGATAGACCCGACAGAACATAGACAAATATTTGGACAGACTGACAGATCCACATACTGTCAGACAGGTCGACGGAAATAAGTGACATGTAAAAACGTAGTATCTCATTTTCGAAAATTTTGGTGATTACAATACTTCCCTATCAGGAGACGTGGCAAGTAATTCCATAAATAGTAATAAAAAGACTATCTGAAGGTAAGGACCTTCAAATGGTTTTATATTTATCAGAATTTGCTTTAGTCGGGCTGTTTTCAGCATGTCGCTAGATAAGACCACAAAAAGGAAGACGTGCGTGAAAAATAATTTGCCAGCATCAAACTTCTTTCAAGGAGTAATGAAAAAATAAAGAGGTGTTGAGGATAAAATGGGAAAAACGCACCGGTATACAATTCAAAGTTTGTTTTTCTAAAACCACCATGCACATATAAAAAAGCCAACAATGACAAAAAAATGCAAGCAAGTAAATATGTTTAATTCGATTAACTGATTACCGCGCTAGAATTCCAATCAGCTAATTTTAAACAGCGGTGGCTTATATATACAAACATAATGAAATAAATTGCTTAAATTCGACACAGCACTTTTTATAAAAAGTAATTTGTTAATTTTTGTTGTACGTTTGTAGACGATTGTTATCAGTTTGCTTTACCCTGTACCGACGTTCATGCAGATAATTGCTTGCCAAATCCTCTCACATTCAAGGAAAATTGTTTAAGAAAAGGGTCTATCCAACATTTTTTCTCACGCTTCTGCGAAAGTCCTGAACTTTTCGTAAACTGCAATGCTGCTTGGATTCGTTTGTTTGCTAAAAACTCCTATACAGGAATAATGGTAATGAAGGACAAATTGTAGCTTTTGTTGTGAGGTTTGAAAATTCACAAACCTGCTGATAAATCTAATGTTAAAAAATCCAGTCATCATTAGGTGCAGCTTATGTTAGACGATTTTTGATGCGCTATGAATAAGCGTACATCTAATGTTCTCATAATCAAACACCCTGTATTTTCATATAGATGTCAGCTATAACATGTCAACACTGATAAGAAATAACCAACGTGTAGTTATTACAAATGCCCATCGTGGACACTTTTGTTCAACGGTTTGAGACATATGTACAACACAGCCGATTTTGAATAAACAGCTGATTGTCATAAATATTAATTCAGAAAAATGTCAGGCAAGTTCTCAGTCCGAACAGTCAATAAAGATATTTAAAGGTAATTCTGGTGAAGGATGAAAGATGACAATAAGCTTGTTCGCGAATATTCTCATTGGTTCCTCTTTAGGGCAAATATGTTTATAAAGCGCTAAATTTCGGCTAACCGTTTTATACAGTACTTATATTGTCTGCGGATTCTATACGTTCTTTTAATAATTATATTTGAGGTCTGCTAGTCTCAATGAATAAAATAACACCTCCCTGGCAAGAGGTACTAGCCACACCTGTATCAATGAACGCTTTTTGACTGTCGCAATTGTAGTATGCTTAATATCACTCCAACCATCAGAGAAAGTGGTCTGGTATGTCAATAAATTATTGTCGCTGTTATTTCTAACAAGGTAAATTGACTTAGGTCTACAAAGAAATCAAATTTCCAATAAATATACGGTAATTGCAATTCCAGCGTATAATGCTTCCTATACACCTGATTTCAATCAACATAGATTTATTACATTGATGTTAATTATGCAAAGTGAGAGACAGGCTTTTCATCTATAGGGCGTCTAGTGTGTAGCGATCAATTTCAATGGAATTTATATGCGTGTAGTTTTTTGTTTTTGTCCAAATATCCCTAGAAGGCAATCCAGTACGTTTGAATGAAGTGAAATTAAAGATTAAGGTGAAACTAGTATAATAATGTAACACTTCTCAACTTGTCAGAGATCCATTCAATAACAGCAACAAAATTGGACTGTCGTGGACCTTACTCAATTTTATATTAAAATACTACACTCATAACGCGGTGACAAACAAGTCATTATATTTAAAATTTAAATCAAATCCGATTCGCGGAGAAATGATATAAATTACTAGATAAACAATCAAGATTTGCAATTAAATCGCACAGTCATCGAAAAGTTTTGTTTCGAGCCACCGCATTGATTGCTTTGTTTAATTACTGTGTAACCATCAAAAGAAAAACCTTTGGTATACTTGAACCTGAGAGTGTAACCTTGAGGGCACTGGTTTTTCTATTACTGTTTTCCATAAGTTGTGGTTAGCATAAATACGAGTATTCACAATGACTGTCAGAATTAAATATACGTCACATGCATATACGGTATGTTACTACGAATATCATGCAATTCAAACATGTCAGTAGCGTCCGACAGAACTTTCGGTTTCGGTGTTTCGGTCCAAAATCAGGGTTTCGGCTTAGCTTTGGTTTCGGCAGACCGAAACCGAAACTACGTTCGTATGTTTTCGCGTGCCTTCCGGCAAATTTCTTCAGACCAATGGTTAAATTTGCTAGGGAAAAATGTTGAAAAATAGTTATTCATGTCATATAAAATACTGTTCAATTATGATTATTAGATTGCGTTCAAAAGGCCTGTTGCAGCAACATTGAATTTGGGTATTTGAGTTGTGGGAGACTACAGAAATCTGGGGACAATTTTATGTAATTCAAAATGGTAGGTAACACACGAATGTTTGGAGAATTCCAGTTCCAGCTGGATTTCAGGTAGGATATTCAAAACTGTACAAAATGAATTACCTAAAAATGCCATAGTTATTAATCTCTTGGAAGCAGTTTTTGTTTTTGGTCTTTGAATAATTATTTTAGAAAACCACTATTTATTAGTACAAGGATACCCAAATCATCGTTTAAAATGTGGCCATGATCAATAAAATCCGTTTTTGAAGACTTAAAATCAATTAGATGATTTTTAAAGTTTAAGTTAAACACAATTTCCAAAATTTTAAACGGCGTTTAAGTACTTGTGCAATATAAATTTTCAAATTAAGCTTTCCATCTAAACTAACCTTAAGTAGTCTTGGTCATAGGCCATACGTTGTTATTTTTGTTTTGTCTTTTATTTTATTGTTGGAAATAAAAAGTTATTGTTTACTCGGTTTTTTAAGAGTCAAAAATAGTACTGCTTTAGTTTTCTTTATCGTAATAATATTTGATAAAGACTGATTATTACGGATTATACAGAGTTTTAGTTTTTCCTTTAATAGTAAACTGCTATCATTATTACTAATAATTAAGTGATAAAGACTGAGTTTGTTTTTTGTTGGAGATTCACTATTATCTTACTTCCCACATCATACGCCTCAGCTGGAAGTTTCGGTTTCGTCTGAAACTAAAATTGGAGCGAAATTTTGGTTGCACACTACATGTCCGAAATACTAGTTTAGGTCGAACACTACAAGCCGATTCTTAAAGCAACTATGACTCGCTCTTCTACAGACACATGAATAGGGTGACAGAAGACAGTTGCTTTTATTCACTTTTCTAAAATGCTATAATAAGATTATAGCACGGACTGTCGACATTGTAGTTGTACCTTCAGGCATTGCTATGTTTGATACTGAATATCAACAAAAGATAATGGCGCACGCTCATGTCAAGCAAGTTGTGATACTGACAATAACAAGCATCAATGTGGAAGACTCATGTGTTAAAGAGACCATTATTTTCAAGGCGGTGAAACAAAACAAGAAGAAAAACGTATGTCCATGATCTTAAACCAAGAAATGTTGGCGCAAAAGGACGCACTGCATATTATGTATGAGTATGAGTGATGGATGTACGAAAGTAAGTCCTGTAGTTTTTCTTTGACCTGTCAAAATTCGGAAAAAGACCTATATGTAAATTCCTTGTCTATATGTTATTGAAAGTTTCTAGGGTGATTGTGTACTTTTCAGTCATGCTTATAGAACCACTTATGATCGCTTGATCTCATGTATAAAAATCCGTTTTCAAAAGTGGTCTATCTTTAAGCAATTTAAATTTCTGTAATTTTGAGACAAGCACTCTTGCTCTTAAAATTATAGATTCATTCTGTCGCGCTATAAGAAATGAATCTGAAAACCGTTATCTTACCCCAAGAGATTACGTCACGAGCAAGTTGCAATATTGGAGCATTTTAAAGAGCTTTCTGTATGGTTTCTTTAAATACTTGATGTAAGCTGCCACTTTCCGCCTATGACGCAATTCGCATTAGGTGACTAACAGCCAATTATATGGAGGTTGGTCACTTCATGCAAGACGTTGGTAGTGCGTTTGCTAACACTACACAAAATCTGCTCGTACAACACATATCACGTTTGGCATAAAATACTTTTGCTGTTGAATACCAGGTCTCTATGTTGCCTACATTTATTTTACTTATAAGTATACGTAAAACCTTGCTTCTACAATGCTTGCTTACATCTATTCAAACAAGCAACGAAAACTCACCTTCCAATTATGTATTTCCGATAACCTGTTAGCCACAACACATCCCGCTGTTCCAGCACCAACTACTATAAAATCGTACTTTCCTCCATTCTTAGGTGGCCGTCGAGCACGGTCCCATTGTCCTTCATAGGAGGAAGATCCCGAACTGTCAGTATCGAAGAAAGCATTTTGTCCTTGATCCCATTCATTTTGAGTTGAAGGAACTTCTCCACTTTGACCTCCATGGGCAGAAAGTCCTTCCAGCTGATTTTGGGTCACAGGTACCGCATTGGGCTTTTGGAATCCCCACTGATGTTGCACTCCACTATCGTACGGAGGATCACTTTGATATTGTTGTGTGGTATATCCTTGATTTAACGTGTTAACATAACCCTTGTTTTGGGTTGAGTCCTTGGAGTACCCCAATAGGGTGGTGACTAGTTGTATGAACAAAAATGTGCTTGGCTGGCATGTTGTAATGTTGGTGTAGACCGCACATGCGGATCCCAAGTTTGGAGGAACCCAGGACATAGCTCTGCAAATAAATCAAAAAATATGTCACAGAAGATGGAACCAAGTACTCCAAACAAAATGGAAACAGGGGAAAATGTCCCCGATATTTAGAGTGGTTTGAATGTAAAGAAGAAGGTTGTGCCAAGTAGATTGACTGGTACCCTTACACGCACTAACTTACTTGTGTTCAGGTTACGCTCATATCTTAAACAGGCGGATCTAGATAAAAAAATTGGGGGGGGGGTTGGTTCGTGTGATGAGTTTGAAACTAATAGCTCAAAAAAGTGTTGGGGGAGGGAGAGCTAAGGGTTCATGTTCAGGACGACGTCTATCTCGGGGCAGAAGGTGAGGCAATGGGGATCATTGGAGAAGTATGGTAGGAGGGAGGGGGGGGGGGGGCGATGAGTGCTATCGTCTGCAGATAAAAAAACATGATCGAAATTATTTTAAATTCAGATATTTCAGTGGGATCCCTTGCATCTATCACTGATCTTAAAAGCTCTTTTCAACTTTACAAAAAATATTCGGATGATAAGCTGTTCATTTGACTTAGAAAAGCAAGATCAAAATATTAAAGGATTCAAAGTGTTTGATCTCAAACTATTTTTGGCTACGTTCTATATTGATGACAAGTTTTAAAAAATAGTAATTTTTCAAAAATGCTCACCCCTTTAAGAGGTTGTTAGCTCCATTTAAAAACAATCTAAACGTCTAATATCATACAGAAAAATGGTGACAAGTATCAGTACTTCGCCTGCAATTTCGAAAGCTTTCATATGCGCATATGTTTATCATAATAAGTATACGTCACACACACAATAATCTAATAAAAAGTCTGATATCAACAATTTGAGGAGCATCCACACGTAAATTTTCATATTGAAAGGTGAGGGATTTGTGAACTTTGCTGGTCTCCAGGATTAGTTTTTCTCTTGCTTATCCTTGTTTTTAATAATAATTTTAGCGTAAGTTGATACTAACCTTTGTGGCTTGCATCTTTAAATCGGATTGATTCCTTAGCTGGATTTTAGTGTCTTCATGTTTTGAGCATTGTCTCTGTTCACTATAGAAATCCATCTAATTTTGTACCATTACATTAAATTATACATAATTAACTTCCCATTTTCACAAAATTAATAATTATAAAAATATTTTGTGTTCTTTCAAGCTCAAATAACGTTGAATGCCTCAATTCACTAGCAATTGTATACGCTACAGAATAACATTTTCAAATTTGCAAGGCACTGAAATCAGTCATATGTAATTTTGCATCTCCCTTTTTCTCAATTTTTGGCATCGTATCTGGATATACTTATTTGCCGTTTAAGCAGGTTGTAACCGCGATTTTAGCTTTGGAAATTTCTGTTACCAGATATTTTAGAATTAACATGATTTCAAAAATTTTCCATTCATGGAGTTTTTCATATTGAGCAATTGAGCTTCCAAAACACAGTACTTTGACGAACAAAAAGCTTCCTAGCGCTCATCCGGTTTCGATGGATGGCCGAGTTCTGCCAAAGAGCCGTTCATTTCGGCTGGTCGGATCCCCTTGGCTGTTTGTTTAGTGGTGAGAAGTACTTTTCTCCGCATGACCTTACTCTGTGCGAGGCCCAAATAAGGGCTAGCATCGAGTATTGTTCACACGTTTGGGGTGCTGCCGCCCCGACTATGTTACATTATCCATGCTCGATGCTGTCCAGAGGAGGGCGGTCCGACTGATTGATGACTCTTGTCTAACAGACAGTCTCGGGACTCTTTCGCACCGGCGGGCCGTTGGCGATCTAGCTCTTTTATACCGCTACAGCAACAAGCTTTGCTCCTCAGATCTCTCTTCCCTGATGCCGCCTCGCGATTAGCCTGTCAGACAGACCCGGCTGACTTCGGCGTCCCATCCTAACCGTGTCGAACTTCGTACATCCAGAACTGGCCGATACGACCGCTCCTTTGTCCCGAGGATGTCTAGATTGTGGAACAATCTACAAGAGGAAGCTTTTCCCAGTTCTACTAACCTTAGGCAGTTCAAAAATCGTATTAACAAAATTTATTTTTGATCATCATAGCAGTCGCGGTGTTCCGGCATTTAGGCTTCTGCCTGCGCGGCTGCTTCGATATATATAAAAAAAAATATTTTAATTTGTGACCGTATTTGACGCTTTTCAATTATCATTGGCTTATCCCTTTTTGCGTGCGTCTTGTTGAAGAAAATAAACATTAATTTATGGATTTCTTTGCATTGTAGCTACAACTCAAGATCCCTTGTGCTTGTATCACAACTAGTCAGCCGAGACTACACTGCTCATCTCCTCCTCTAACATAAAAAATGAACCTTACCAAATTTGAGAATTTGGTCAGAGAAGCTCGGAAGTTCGAAATATTGACTTTGCAGAAAAAAGTTTCGACTACGACCAAAAGTGAAGTTTGCGTACGATCTGAAGCCGTTTTGTTTTTTGCTCATAAATTCACCGCCATTATGTTTAGCTTTGTCGAACTGTCAGTGACTGGCAAGGCATCCAGTGACTGGCCAACAGATACAGACAGACCGAATGACTCAAAGTCCCTAAATAAATACCAGGTAATTGGTGTGGATACTCCAAAATTTGGAAAACACTTCCACTAAACAAAAATACAATAAAGCTCTTCAGAAGTTTCTCAATACTGCTTGAAGTCGATCGCATACCTCTGTGGACTCTCACGATAACTGTCAGTTCAACACCATGTCACCACAAATCACTATCACACATGCAGCACACTTGACTACCCGACAATGGTCCTAAAGGCAAACTGAAACATGTACTTAAGACCGTTGACGAAGAACGGACGAAGCCTTCCCCCTCCGTGCCGGTTGACTTGGAAATTTTTGGACTGCCAAGTGTGCAGCTAATGCTAATGCACAGCTAATTGACTTTCAAGGCGGCTCTTGTGCGAAAATCGTCGCAACACGCTCAATTGGCTACGGCCGCAGCGATACCGACATTCGTTTTCCGTTTGCACTGAATATTCGAGCAGTAAATATAGAATATATTTTGTATCAAAACACATAGGCCCCTAGGCTCCCCACTATTGAAGGCTGCTTCAGCGATTCTAAAAAAAAAAAAATGATCATGTTGAGCAAATTCTAATTAACAAAAATATAAACAGACTGTTTGAAAATGGGTTTGCAAGAAGCTAGCTTCCGGATAATGACAGCAAGCACACAGTATCAAAGGTAATCTTGTGATAGACGTAATACTGTATTCAATAAAATCGATAGATTTTCTAACTACAGAGTGGGTCATTAAAAATTTGGAAATTGAATTTGCTATACTAGGACAATTGTCCGTACTTGCTAAATCCAAGGTTGTTCAATAGGAAATTGACAAAATAGAACAAACAAAAATGCTCGTATGGCATTTTATACACATGGTGTTCATTTGAAAACTTCCCACCACGGATTTATCTAAAACCACTGATAAAAAGAAAAAACGCCGAGCCACATTAACAGATTTGTCAAAGGGGACAGCTTTTTAGCCAAAAACTACTTCACCCCCTTTCACCCTCGACCCCCCAGGAACATTCCCTTAAAAATTTTAAGTGATACGGGGTATCGAGTAATAGCTTGTTCGGAAGGTCTTTTAAAGTCCTTAATTTTGACGTTTGATTTTTCAAAATCAGTCGACTCGTTTTCGAGAAAATTAGAAAAATCTTTATCTAACTTAATTCCGCATTCTTTACATCAACACAGATATCCTGAGCGAACTGTATTTATTGTTATACCTGTATGGTTATTTGTTTCCAAGGGTAAGAAAGAATTTAATTTGCTGTCAGTTACCTTTGTGACAATCTTGGGGATAGTGAAAATTAATTTATTGATTCAGATTTTACTTCAAAAATGGTTTACATACTAGCCGAAAGAGTGGAAATGATTCTTATTTATGATGACCAAAATCAATGTGCTCGGCAAATTGCCGTCACGTTTAACGACAGACGTCCGGGAAGTATAACTTAGCATAGGTATGTTTTGGACCTTGTTACTAAATTTTTTCAAACTGGATCTGTTGCGGACAAAAAACGTGATGATCGAAGATGAAACCGCTCAAGTTGAAGTTTTGGGTGATTTTGAACTGGTATTTCAGTAGGCTCTGTACGCACAGTTACTAAGCTCCATAAATTTCATCCATTCAAAATGAAAATATTGCAAGAGTTAACTGAAGACGGTTTCGATAGGCGAGTTGAGTTTCGTGAACAAATGACTGCAGCGATTAATGATAATAGCATTCATGTAAAGAATATCTGCTACAGTGATGAATGAACATTTTATCTGAATGAATTTGTTAATAAGCATAACTAAAGGTATGCAGAAATGAAAATCCTTTTGTAGAAGTGCATACTCAGTACCCCCAAAAAATTAATGTATGAGCAAGCATTTCAGGAAACAAAGTGATTGGGCCATTGTTTATTGATGGAAATTTGAATGAAGACATTTATTTGGATATGTTGGAAAATACCATCAATCGGCTTTATCACTGAAACCATTGGAAACCAAATCGAAGAGGATGGAAACCCTATACTCGATGAGGCTGAAATGTTTTTGCAGCAAGACGGCACTCCTCCTCACTAAGTTCTTCCGGTTCGACAATGGCTAGACGACGAGTTTCCAGACAAATGGATAGGGCGAAGAGAGAATGGCCTGCTAGATCTCCTGATTTGACGCCATTAGACTTTTTTCTATGGGGTCATTTGAAATCTATTGTGTTTACTTCCTAACCTGAAAGTCTGGATGAAATTCGTCAAAGCATCATCGAAAGCTGCCTTGGTATCCAACAACATGTTTTTGAAAATGCCCGTCAGGAATTTGAACATTGCCTATATCATTATATGGCCAATAACGGGCAACATTTTGAACATTTATTGGAATAAAAAGTGATATTTTCGAGTGTTTTTGTGTTCTTTATGAACAAATAAAAATAAATAAGGATTTTCCTAATTTTCTTGAAATCGATCAATTCGTTTTCGATTACTCGATATCCTTTGTCATTTAAAATTTTTAAGGGGATGACCCTGGGGGGCAGAGGGTGAAAGGGGGTGAGGTAGTTTTCAGCTAAAAAGTTGTCCCCCTTGACAAACCTTTTGAAGTGTCTCGGCGTTTTTTATTTTAATCATTAGTTTTCGATAATGTAAAAACAACGAAAAAGGTTGTCTAGGTATACATTATAATTTATTACTCAATATTGCATCTCAATTCCAGTCGGACTTTCTAGACCCTGGCCAAGCAGATTGACGGAAACTTCTTAAAGAGTAGCCTTCCGCCACTTAAGTTCTAGGACAGACCGATTGTAACCGAGTCAAAGGCTAATGCGGAATTGTTTTTCAATATCCTTGCTGCCAACTCCACCATGCATGTTCCCCAATGCCTAAGTGCCGTCGATCCATACCGTTCCCTACACTACGCGGAATGTAACCTTCAGGCATAAGAACGTAATACTGGCACTCTTGTTTCTCGACATCAAGAAAGCTTCTGGTGCTGACTGGATTTCTGCCGTTGTGCTGAAGAGATATGCAGCGCAGCTTGCTTCAGTCCTTTCGCGTCTCTTCCAGATATCTAACGTAGCCGCCGCTGTCCCAGAAAACTGGAAATTTGTTCATATCCAGCCCATTCAAAAAAAAAAAAATGTATCTAAGACCGACAACCACTGCAGGTCTATAGCTCTACTTTCTGTTATAAGTAAGGTGATGGAGAGATGCATAAATCGGGAACTTCTGGAGTACCTTGACCATCAAGGCTTGGTTAGCGACAGTATGCTTACCGGCACCAGCGATCCACAGGTTTGAGTTTACTTCACGCAACTCTGGAGTAAACTCATCCAGTCTCATGGTGAGGCTCATGTCATTGCTCCTGATACCACGAAAGCGTTCGGTCAGCTGCCTTTTTATGCAAATTCCCATCCCATGGTTTTCCAGAGAAGCTTTGAAGGTGGGTGGCTGACATATCAACGACCTCCTTTTCTGTACTATCAGTACAAACCACAGTTTTGACAGCACTCCACATGCAAAAATTCAGAGTGACAAGTCGCGACTTTATCTCTGACGAGAGACCTGAAAGACTGGATCTGGCATAAATACATCCCGTCAATAGCGGTAGTTGCTGGGAAAAAGCTTGGCTATTTGATTAGGGCTAAGAAGAGCCTTTCTCCGTATAACCTCGACACTCTGTACAATGCCCTGATAAGACCCAGCCTCGAGTACTGCTCACCTGTTGGGGTGCTGCCAGCCTGACTACGTCATTCATGCTCGATGCTGTCCAGAGGAGGTGAGGGTGTCCGACCAATCGGTGATTCTTCTCTGTCTGTCGGTCTTGGGACCTTTTCGCACCGATAGGCCGTCGGCGATCTAGGCGTCTTCTACCGCTACGTCAACGGGCTTTACTCCTTAGAGCTCTCCTGTATAATGCCGCGCGTTTTGTGCCTTCCAGACCGACCCGTCTGACTTCGACCTCCCAACCTAGCCGTGTCGAACTGCGTACATCCAGAATTGGTAGACATGACCATCGCCTTGTCTCTAGGGTAGCAAGTTGTGGAACAATCTTAATGCGCCGGCTTTTCCTGGTTCTACTAACCTTAGGCGGTCGAAAATTTGAATTACCAAAGTTTCTTTAAGCTGCTTTGCAGCCGCGATGCTTGGGTACTTAGAATTCTTCTGCTACGTGGCTGCTTTGGTATAAAGCAATTAAATAAGTGGGTGGTTTCATTGTGTAACTTCATTTCTTTTTTATAACATTTCTATGCTGATCTGCACATTGTATTTTTTTAGTATTCATTATTGGTTTACATATTTCCTGTAGTATTTGTATTTATGTATAATATTTTTTGCACTTGCTTATACTATATCTGTACCCCAGAGCCAGACTAGGTTAAGTCCATCTTAGTCAAAAATGAGTTCCATATGTTAAGCTTATGATAAAATTGTGAATTTTCATTTGCTACTTGCAGAGTCCATCTATCAGTAGTACTATATTTTATTCCATATGCGGGTAGTATTTTGCAAGAGGAAAAACATTGATATATCTATATATAAAATTAAAGCTTCCGCCTTTTGTTGGGTACTTCGACAAAATTTAAGCAAAGAGGACTCTTTATACTTTTTTTATTCTCTCTAGCTTTCAATGGACTTTGCCATCATCATCAGGAGCTGCAATTACATTGATAACAGTAGCAACAATAGTGTAAAATGAATTTAAATTGACTTAACTTACAGTAGTATGTGAGGATGTTGCTAATTGTTGTTTACGTTCAGGATGAAGGAAAACACCCAGTAACATGGTGAAAGCTGGATAGATGGTACAATGGTCAAAATTATATAAAATACACACAACTGTGTGACAAGAACAAGTTAAAAACAGATTAAAAATTTTTTAGAACATGATAGCATTACATCGTGAAGCCACTTGATGATTGCACAAAATGGTGGTCATGGAATAATGAGTGAGATGAACCCTTTGACAGAAGGCCGAAGGTTGTCAATGTCTGTGTAGAAAGATGGAACGAATTGTGGGCGTGTGCCACGTTGCCAAATCACTTCAGATGATGTGATTGGTGTTTCCCTCATCCTGAACGTAAACAACAATTAGCAACATCCTCACATACTACTGTAAGTTAAGTCAATTTAAATTCATTTTACACTATTGTTGCTACTGTCCTCTTTGCTTAAATTTTGTCGAAGTACCCAACAAAAGGCGGAAGCTTTAATTTTTCACCTAACTGGTCTAGACGACAATGACCACGTCTCAAGATATATATATATATATATATATATATATCCCTCATCCTATACGAAAACAACAATTAGCAACATCCTCACATACTACTGTAAGTTGATTCAATTTAAATTCATTTTACACTTTTGTTGCTACTGTTATCATTGTAATTGCAGCTCCTGATGATGATGGCAAAGTCCATTGAAAGCTAGAGAGAATTAAAAAAAGTATAAAGAGTCCTCTTTGTTTA